TGTCTAGACAGCATTCTGGCAAGAAGCCTGCTTTTCCCAATACTTCTGCTACAGCTTCATGACCAGGCAGCACTGCTTCCCTCCACTGCTATGATGCAAAGGTGGGTGTGCAGTGCTCAGGCTTCTCCCAGGTGAGCCTGGTTTTATTCCCTTTTCTCTTCCAATCCTGATTAAAGCTGTCTCAAAGAGCCTTGCTAACTCCTGAGCAAAGATCCTTTTTCCCTTTGAGGCAGGGAAATGTGCCACATGCCACCATCAGGCCTGGTGTCCTGTAGAGCAACCCACAGAAAAAGCTCCACACTTTGCTGGGAAGACCAGGGTGACAGCTCCAGGCATCAGTGCTCTAACTCCTCTTCTATTGGTCTTCCATATAAAAACTGTGATGGATTCTGAATTTTTGTAATAACCAATTCCAGGTTTTCACTATTATTTAAAACTAATTAATATTTTAAGAGTCTACTATCCGATATCCAGTGACTTGCCCTTTTGCTTAGAATTGCTTTCAGATCATGTGGGGTGTACACTTCGATTTTTCCAGACGTTAGTTTATAGCTCTCTTCTATGAGGGCTGCTGTCGCAGCTATGGCTTGGAGACAACCATCCTCTAACCACAGGATCCAATCATTTAGACACGTGAGCTACAGGCTTCTTGACCCCACACCACTCCTGCACCAGAACACCATAGGCTATTCCTTCTTCAACATTAACAAATAGTTCAAATAATCAATTTAAATCAGGTAAGCTTAATATTGGGGCGCTAGCCAGTTTTTCTTTCAATTCTATCAACTTTTCTTCATTGTCATTACTCCAAGTGATAGGTTCATCCCCTACCAATTTATCATGTAGGAGTTTAACTAACTTAGTATGACCTTCTATCCAAAATTTACAATATCCAATTAGCCCTAATAATTTCCTTATGTCCATTTTGGTCTTCGGTGCCAATAATGATAATATCCCTTGAACTCGGCTCAGATCTAACTTTTTATATCCTTTTTCAATTAAATGCCCTAAATATTTCAGTTCAGGTTCTACAAATTGTAATTCTTTCTCTGACACTCTTAGATCGTTTTCCTCTAAGAAATTCCGTAAACAACTGTCATCTTTTGGACCTCTTCCTTCAGTTTCCCTAAGACCAATATATCATCTACATATGTAGGACTTGTGTTTCTTTACTGTACATAAACTGCTTCACTAGTTCCTCTAAGGATTGACCAAATAAATTGGAGGATTCTGTAAATCCCTGGGGTAACCGGGTCCACTGCAATTGTTGTTTCTGTCCTGTTTCCTCATCTGCCCATTCAAATGCAAACCACTTCCTGCTTTCTTTTCTCTAAGGGGCAGGACCAAAAGGCGTCCTTCCGATCGATGACACTAAACTATGCATGTACTTTATTTAACAAATTATATGTATTAGTCACTACTGGGTACCTGGTAATGGTTTGTTTATTAACTTCTCTCAAATCTTGAACTAACCTGTATGTACCATCAGGTTTTCTGACCGGTAAAGTTGGTGTATTATGTGGTGACATACATGGTTCTAATATTCCCCCTTTGATTAATTTTTTGATTACTGTACTCAACCCTCATTTTCCTTCTGCTGATATTGGATATTGTCTCACCCTGATGGGTGGTATGTCAGGTTTCATTTTAATCTCTATGGGGATTAATAATTCCTGATGCCCTTTTTCCACCCACACCTTGAGATTTATTTCTTTTTCATCTTCTTCTCTCAATACCAACATCTTGGCTACCATACGTCCTCCCTCTGGTACTGTAAGTCCTGGCTTAAGAGATTGCACCCTATTTCCAGCATGTACAACAAATCTGCACACCCTTCCTGGAAACTCCCTTTTACCTTCACCTTTTCTATAATAAATACTTCAAATGGATTATTTTCAGCACTGTTTACTCTACATCTGTGATTACTTAATTTATACCTTCTTGGAATCTCAGAAATACTTCATCAGTCTGCCCCAGACTAAAAATTAATATTCTTCACTTCGAGGGCCAATTTCCAATTCTACCAAGGGCTCCCTTTGATATTCAGTTCCATCCCTCAGAGCGTAGAGCCCCTGACATTGCTAATCATCGCCTCTCAAATTTTTTTCAAGGTATCCTGTTCTTTTGCTATACTTTCATCTTGCTGTCTCTTCTTACAAAACCTCTTGGTAATGACCTCTTTCATTACAGTAAAAACAAATCACATTGACCCATGGGGATTTTCTCTCTCCATCTCATTCTTTCTTCCTCTCTGCCCATCTTCTCAATTCCACTTCCTCCTCCTTCACTGGCTCATTTTTATCAACTCCTGTACTTTCTTTTGCTACCGCTATCATGATTTTAGCCTTTGCCTTGGTTTTCTCTTCCTCTCTTCTTAAACATACTTTTTGCACCTCCCTCAAATAACTCATTAAGGCCCTTCTCCTACCAATTGACCAATTTTTCCAATTTTCTTCTGTTGTCTACCCAGGATTTAGTTACAAACTAAACTGTTTGTATTCTTACCAACACTTGTCCTTCTGGACTTTCCAGATCAATGCTAGAGTATAACTGGAAATTTCCTTTTAGTCTTTTGAGCCATCACTACATGTCTTGTCCTTTTCTTGGTGACTGTCAAACACTAATTTCGCATTATTTGCCCTTGGGACTGCCTCTTGTGTTCCTCGTCTCATCAGTGTTCTATAGTCACTCATATTCTTCTGTCCTTCTTCCTCGCTGGGATCCCATCCTGGCTGGTTATTGGGTGCTTCTTCCTCTCCCCTGAGACCAATTCGATTCTCCCTTTCCCAAATCCTCATTGCAGCCCCACAAATTAATTGATTCTCCTCTAGGGAGAAAAGTATACCCGGTATCGAGTTTAACTCTTCCCAGGTATATATACTGGGACCCCAAAACTGATACAGTTGGTTGGATATCCCTGTAACTCTTTTAATAATTCTTTTTCATTTCTTTTTTCTCTCTCTTGATTCTGCTGCACTTCTTCTGTACTTTTTTTCACTCTTGGATTTCTCAGTCTCCTCTGAGTTGAGCTCTTTGGGGATATTCCCTCACAGGGAGTCCCACTTATCACAGTCTTCCAGATCGGGACAAAAACTCCAAAGCCTGTTCGGATCTTGTTTCTCATGTTTATTAGGATTTTATCGTATAACTTGGCAGGTCTCTCCAGACTATCTGC